CAATTTATAAAAGCTCAATTGTGATTCATCCACAACGTTAGTACGCGCAGGCTGAAGCTATGCTTCTCCGGTCGATCCACTAGTCGTTCTGGGATATTGGTTGCGAGATAGGACCGACGCTATCTGAGTCTGCAGGGATAGGAGGCGTCACACAGACATGCGCCACATCAATATTCCGGGAATTGGAACATGGCTTGCTGAATATTTTACTTGCAAGCTATGATGAGTTTACTTCCATTCGCGTCCCACACTCTCACGATCCAATGCCACTGTGAGAATCAGAAGTTTGGCCGAAAGTATGACACATAACTCGCTATCGCCGGCAAGGCAACCGCACATGCAGTAGCTTTCTCGCTCGAAAAGAACGGTTGCAATGCTAATGCACAAGTAGCGCCCCCGTTTTGACCTAAGGCATAGGCAGCCTACTCTCACACGGACTTCTGTATGGAGGAGTCCATAGAGAAACCTCAGCTGAGAACGCATGGCAATGTGGCGGTGACCGCTGTTATGGTCCCCACACCATAAGGATGTTAGCCACAGCGACTAGAGCAAGGAATTGGTCAGATCAGACCACTAAGGATAGAGCAGTGGATTCTCGACCAACTTTGCCAAGCCGAGGTATACTGGGGGAATTTTTTCCCCCCCCTACTCGGTTAGTGTTTGCTACCTGGGTGATTATCGCGGAGAATTGTATACACAACTTGAGTAAGTTTTAGTTTACTAACAGAAATGGCCGTCGGCTAGTTATTCAGTGTTTGTCCATGCCTCAGTCAGGTTCCTTGATGCGGCTTGACTTTCAAACGTTCACACTATGGCCCATGTTGAGCTGGGGGTGATAACCATTACCCTGCAAGCTGGGTGACTCAGATCTACCAGGTAATGGGAAGAAGGGTTGTTGTAGTAAACACTTGACAGGTACTCCGTACACCTGTCCACATTGCGGTCAACAACCCTGCACATCAGTGGACATAACGGGATCCGCCGTGTTGTCTATGTATTCATATTCTCATTGGACGACTGACATGCCGAATATTCGGGGCCACTGTGGATTCCCACAACCCAACACAGTCAGTTGAGGTTTGAGCCTTCGGCAAGATTGGGGAATTCTCTAGGAGTGGAAGACAGGGTCTCTCTATCGACCTGATTGTCTCCTACTCCTACACCAAGACTGCGGGTCTGATGCTTAGATCCCCACAAATCTGTATATATACTCTTCGAAGATCCATATCATCATTGCACGGTGTGAACGAGCTGCAGTCGCTAGCGGGGCAGCGATCCTGGTAGGCGATTCTCGTAACCATAGAATTGGGTCATTCCACCGTGATCTCAATACTTCGGGTCAAGTGGAGCACCTGAGGATGTTGGCGTTCGTCGCGATTGATCTACGCCCATCGCCAGGTCGTCAGATAATTTGGATGGGGATTACTGCGCCTGCACTTTCAGCCCCAGATTTGATACACTTAATTCTATGATCGCCTGTGCATTTGTGTCCCGGCTAGCTCAGCATCAGCGACAACATCCTCGTTCCCTGAGAAATACAATGCCCAAAAACACAAAAGAAGAAAAAAAAAAGGAAAGGGAAAAAAAAAAGAAAGTACGGGGTGCTGAGAGGGATGGACTGGACCAGGACTCTACCCTCCTTTGAACCAGGCTCTTGGACTTATTGCAGACCAAGAATCCCAGACCATGATTGGTCATGTCACAGTCTGTCGGCGTGCTCCTAACTGGGGACACTCAAATCATGCCTTCTCAACCAGTACATGATCGCCCTGGTCCGAATTTGGAATCCTCTTTACCCACCCACCAACACGGCTCTTGATTAGTAGCGTCATTGCAAGGGACTACCGCCGAGAAATGGACATCAATGTTTCGACTGACTTATATAGTGTCTAAACTGACCGCACTTGAGACTTAAGACCATCTGTCATTGGCCCACTTCTTCATCAGTTGCCGACGATTACACCTCTATCGTCACTTTCTTCCATACAAGCTTCAATTTCTGATAGCGAAGGAGAACCGGGACCGGATGAGAACACCCTTTGTCGCTGTTATTTATCGTTCCTTTTTTGTTCGTTTCCATTTTATTTATCAACGAACCGGGGGAATTATTTCGGGGATATTCTTAACAGAATCCTGTCAGGCACGCAACGCCGCTGCAGGGTTAGACTCGCCCGTCAATGCCACACACATACACAGTGGGCACGCACACGTCCTCACAAAAGCATCGCCCAGTCCGACTCTTCATATCTGCTATTTCCTCTGCACAGTCACAGATTGGTATAGAGTCAGAAAGGGTGGAATATTCTCGGTCATCAAGGTTGGTACGACCGTTGCGAGTCTTCTGTTCTCTTTTTGCCAGGACTGAATTGGTCATCAGACGCTCTGTTGCACACACTTAAATTTTTTTTTGTACATTGGTATTGTCATTCCTAGTGTGAGTTGTACCGACTTTCATCCATTCTGTTTGGACGGTGCTTCGCGCTTTTCTTTTTCCTGGGTTATTTCTTTTTCTTCGGCGTGCCCCTCGTGCAGCTGCCTTGTTGTTCTGCCTTGCAAATTAATTTGGGCTAACTGATGCATGTTACTCGAATCAGCATTCTTGATACACTCAAGTAGTCGGCCCCCGGTGGGTAGTCATCCTCACGTCTTTGTTCTTTCAGGACGGAGTCCAAGCCATCGTGTTGTTGGTCCCAAGTCGCAGCTGTCTGTTTGCCGGATCTGTGTATATGGCATCTGGCCGTCCCGTTTTGTTTCGTCGTCGATCCCTCGTCAATTGTCTTTGTAAAGACCGGCATTATATCATCTCTTAGAACGCTTACGATAACAAGGCCGCCATCTTATTTGCTATTTTGACTGATGCCCGCCTTGCAAAAATCGGGAATTAGCCGCCCGACGTTTGCCAATACTAGACGCAAAGTGGAAGGAGAGTATAGGTGATAACATACCCAACCTTGTATACTTCTGCATAGATGTCGAATACGCCATTACCACAATGGACGCACTCCCTTCCCGACAGCCGGTACCCCGATACGAGCACTCGTGTCGGTGACGATGCAGGAAGAGGATTAGCAGCAATTCCAAATCCCGCATATTCGACTCAAGAACCCCCGCGGTTTCTATTTCCAGACAGTCAAGGCTATGATCCTACTGCCAGTACCTCGACTCCTCCTAGGTTTGTATTTGAAGGCGCAAGGCGGGATAGCGCGGAGCATCGATATAGCGTCTCCTCAAGCGCGAGTGGGCCTCTTGCTCCGTACGCAGCGCAGCGTTTGAGCATATCAAAGAACGCTGACTACAGTGGGCCATCAAGTTCCTATCATGAAACATCAAGTCAAGGCCGTGGCTCCATAGGCTCCACGGGGCGGGCGAACGACATGGAATCTCTGTAACTCTCCCTTTTCTTAGCTTGCGACTTTCGCTCCTGTTCTTGTCTTTGGATCGATCTGGACTCGCTCTAAAAGAAAGAATTCCGGTCTAGGGGAGCCTTATGATGCATTCTTTTCGATGTTCTAACTCGACCTGATCAGATATAGTAGTTCATCCACGACGTTTCCAAGCCCCGTCCACTCTGATAAGAGCACGGCAATGTTCACCACCAACCCTATGCCAAAGTATTCAGCACAGCAACCGCCGCGTCAGACAACGTCCGGCGTACCCTTGGGCTTTGAGAACCTGCTTCACCATTCGCCGTCACCACCCCCGCGGCGGCCTTCAACAGCCTCCCGTTATCATTTACATATTCGACAGCAACCAATGGCGGCAAGAGCTTGCGGGTTTGGTGATAGAGATCGGCGACCTGTTGATCCACCACCCATCATCCAATTGCTCCTAACCGACTTCGACCCCGTGTCAGATCAAGATAAGGATATCTTGCAAGATCCGAGATTTGCTGTTGGTTGTCTTCTATTCCCTGCGGTGACATCTTCCCAGCAAGCCTCATCAGATATGGAGAGAAGGGTGGCCATTCGTGAAAGTCGCCTTGGATCTACTGCGAGCCCAGGTCAATCAACGCCTTTGCTTTCCGGAAAGGCGTTCATTTCTCCTTTCTATGTTGATGCAGACCCGGACCCTGCGACGGCACCTGCCCACCCGACTAGTGAGGATTACGTGACGCAGAGGACCTCTGCAGGATTGGTACGAATGAAACAACCGGCGACATTTTTCATATTCTCCGATCTTTCAATCCACGCAGCTGGAGAGTATCGGCTGCAATTTCGGCTCATGAACTGGGGCCACGTGGAGGATACCGGTCAGCCTATGCCTATCCTCGCGGAGGCGTGGTCGGAGCCATTCCAGGTGTACCCAGCTAAGGACTTCCCCGGGATGCGAGATTCATCCCCGCTCGCAGAGGGACTCAAGGAGCTCGGGTTTACCGAACTAAAAACAAGGGGCAAGGGGAAGGGCAAGGGAAGGAAGCGTTGACGTTATCAAGGGCCATTTATGAATGAACGTCCCGTCTTTGGGCCAATTTCCCAGCGTTGCGATATCTCAGAACACCGTCACTCCGGCATCATGCCTGTTTCTAAAATACTCAACTTTACGATCTTAATGAAGGCTTATGAAAAAAAGAAATGCCTTTAGAGGCATATGAACTTGATCACGGCTCCACTCTATATGAAGGACCCGATGTAGTGCTAAAATGGAAACCTACAGCAGACCTGAGACCCAGAGCCTTACGCATGTATCCGGGTCCATCTTTGAACGAGCAAGTTCATGCATTTATAGTGTACCCAGTACATAACAATGGATGTCCCTCTAGGAGATATTGCACCCGTATTCCTCCTATTCCTGGCGCAGCTGGATAGCTGGCCAGCCTGATTTCAAGCATTTGTGATATAATACAATGATAGCAAATAATCAAGTGTCTACACCCAGATAGCCATTGGGCATAGCGAATTGATATTGTTGTACAGCGTATAGCACACGGGTATCAACCAAACACAATAAACAAACCACACCTCACCATCTCTTAGCGGTCTATCTAGATCGAGATAGCTCCATCAAAGATCTAGCAACTGAAGCGGCACCTCAGGCCGAAACTTCTCATCCCGCCAGACCTTCAGAAGCTCATCCTGGGACGTCGGCATGAACTCCTTCGCATCGGCAGTGCGCGAGGACCAGAAGAGCTCCCACGCCGTTTCATAATTCCCATCCTCACGCTCAACGATAGCGAGCAGCAACGCGGCCCGCGAGTCCCATGCTTAACCGCCAGGTTATACCAATCCACCGCCAACTTCCGATACTCAGCGTGCGACTTGACGTCCGCAGAAAGGAACGAGAAGAACCTGCCCAGCGCGCCGGGCTTCTTCTCCTCCACCGGCTTGGCCGGATCAACCGTCCTCGTAGCTCTTGGTATCGCCTTCGCGTCATCCCCCTCCGACACCTTCACCCCACGCCGAGGAAACCACCCCTTCGACGTGAGATAGTAGAAATTCGCCAGCTTCAGACAAGCCATCGCATCCCCCGAACTCGCCGCCTTACTCATACCCTCCTCATAGCCCTCCAGATCCATCTCGCGCATCAACAAACTCGCATGATCCTGCAACGCCCGCGGATCCTCATACTCCAGCGCCGCGCTCCGCACAACCTCATCCGCCCCCATCGGCTCCCCCGTCCTCTCCTTCAGCCACGCATACACGCGCCACGGCGTCTCCATCACCTCAGAGATCAAGTAGGACTGCTCCGCCCCGCGCGGCGCGTTCTTGGACGGGTGAATTCGCGCCAGCACCGCCTCCATGAGCTCCAGGGCCTGGGTATATTTGCCACGGCGACCCTGCACCTGCGCAAGCAGCTGCAGCGCGCGGGGATCGTTGCTCGTGCGTCCGATCTCCTCCAGCCGATCGATGACGGCCGTCTGTCGGACCTCTGTGCCCCGTCGTTCCGTGATCGTGAGGTACCGCGCCGTCTGGTATAACACCGGCACGCGCCCCCCGGCCAGACTGCACGCCGCCAGCACCCATTCCTTGAATCCCATGTCGCTTGTTCCGATGTGGTAGCCTATCCTGAACACCTCATCTACGTCTGCATTTCCCTCCCCCCCCCCCGGGTTGTAACACGTTAGCCCCAAATTCCTCTCTAGATACTTGTACATTCGGCAAGAGTGAAAGTAACTATCTCACCATCCGAAATCCGTAAAACAAGCTGCGCCGCCGGCGGATGCGCATACGCCGTATTAAACAGGCCCTTCGCGATGCGAACAAAGGTATCATGATCGACCGTGACGCCGCCATATCGGCGAGCTTCCTGGTGGAGGGTCTTCGACGCGGTATCGAGGAACCGCAGGCGCTGGGCCAGGTCGCCCTGTGCTGGCGTCTTGAGGAGCCCGTCTTCTGTGTAGGTGTTTGCGACTCGTGGCTGTTGGGGCCGTTTCTGGGCTGCTTCGGCGCGGCGCACGGAGGGTGAGCGAGCGGCGTTGGCGTGAGGGGTGGTGTGGAATTGGTGGATGCGTGGAGCTGTTGTTGTTGTGGTGGTGGTTTGGTGGTTATGTGCGTTGTGGTAGGGGAGGCGAGGGAGGAGGCGTGGGCATTTTCGGAGCGGTCTTGTGAGGGACATTTTATTTTTGTGGTGGTGGGTTGTTTTGGAGAGAGTGAGGTGGGTTTTTGTTGGAGGTTATGGATGTGAGGCGGAGAGATTTGTGTCTCGGTGGAGCTGTTTACTGGTACTTTTACTGCACTGCACGCTTTGACTGGCGATGTAACTGTGAGTGGATACTGGAATGGATTGGGTTATGGATGTCTATCTATCTTGGAAGTCTGGTTTGTGTGATCTTGATTCGCCTGCAATTGGAGCTCTACGCATCGTCTATCAACTAAGAAACCCATGATTAACTTCATAATAGTAAAACAGCATATCTATCGTCCATCCGCCGTGGAAAAGCGCAATAGACAGCAGAAGAGTTGAACAGATACAGATCGGTCGTCCATCAGGGATCCAAATTGTCCAAATCAAGAGATGATAATGTACATTTGCCGCCGTTTTCCCGCTTTCCGGTTATATCAGAAACAGTTCAAGAGATATACGACGGAGAAAAGAAAACACTAAAAACACAGTAATAAGTGGTGAGAGACAAAACTCCAGCTCGATGATGCAGTCCAATCACAACGTCCCGGCCGTTCCTGATCCCCGTCGCCCCGTTCGCCAGAGCCAGGAAAGAGGGCAAAGATCACCAGGTATAAATCAATTCATCGAAATTATTAATCCCCCGTTTACTCCATGATGGCCTTGGCACCGACGGCCTTGAGCGTCTCGATGATCTTCTCGGCGTCCTCCTTGGGCACGGACTCCTTCAGGACCTTGGGCACGGATTCGACGAACTTCTTGCTGTCAACCAGGGACAGGCCGAGGAGAGACTTGATCTCCTTGATGACCTTGGCCTTGGAGGCGGGGTCGATGGACTCGAGTTTCAGGTTGAAGAGGGTTTTCTCCTGGGCGGCAGGAGCAGCCTCTTCCTCCTCGGCGGGAGCAGCGGCGGGAGCAGCACCGCCGGCCATGGCGAAACCGCCAACGGGGAGGTCGGGGATGTTGAGGCGGGACTGCAGGGGAAACAATGACATCAGCATGGGAGATTCAAATCAATTGATCCTATCAAGGTATCCCATCTCCCCCCCGGGGGGAGGTGCACGCGAGTAAAAACAGTGCACCACATCGGTTTGCGATATGCGGAAAGAAGCAAACAACGAACGAACCTTGAGGGTGGCCACGAGGTCGGCGGTCTCCAAAAGCGTCAATGTGCTGATCTGGTCAACAATCTGGCTGATCTTAGGGTTGACAGGGGAAGCAGCCTCCGCCTCGGTGGACTGCCATCTCCGTGTCCGCTGAGACAGATATGTCGAGGAAGAGAGGCGCAAAGAAGCGGCGGATGGGCGGACGATCTGCCTGCAGCAGCGAGCGGCGACCTGCGAAGAAATTGACATGATGGCTGTGAAGGGATGTGACCGGAGAGGAGACAGACGAGCGTAGAGGAGATGGAGAGAATCAGGCGCTGCTCAATCAAACCGAACCAGAGAGCTATCCGAAAGTCTTGAACTGAAAAAGAAAGTCGAGTTTCGGTCCGGAAAATCCAGGTCTCGGTCACGTGAGCTGCCCGGCCGATGCACCGGAACGCTTCAGCAGTAAACATCAACCACAAAACAGCTTCGGGTCAACACATAAGTACTGTAAAATAACTACAATTCGTGCTACGGACGGTAGGAATAATATAGCCAAATGTGACTCGCATTATACATAGTAACCAGTATTACCTCTACTCTCACAACACGCTTATGTCAAATCCTTGATCAATGGACTTTTCATGATATCGTATCTATCACATTCCTATTTTAACCCCCAATTAAATATGTAACGCTTCATGTTTAATCCTCATCCCAGTTGGCGTTGGGGCCTGGTGGCTTGGGACCACCTGCTTGACGGGCAACGATGATCTGATCGACACTGAGGACTGTCCGCGCGGACTCGCTGGCCAGGCGAATAGCCCAGCTCTTGGAAGCCAACAGGTCGAGAATACCCTCCTCAACGGTGTCCAGAGTACCGGCCGAGGTAGACGATTCCAGATCAACACCGGTTGTCCAGTATGGCTCCTCTTCCTCAGAGCTACCCGACTCCTCTTCTGACGAACCTTCGGCACCAGTGCTGGCGCGGTGGTGGGCTGTGTACAGACGAGAAAGAACCTCGGTGGCATCGAGACCAGCAGACTCCGCAAGGGTGCGGGGGATGACCTCGAAAGCCTCGGCGTACTTACGAATGGCATACTGAGGCAATCCTGGGGTCCGATCGGCGAATGCAGAAATCTTCTCCACGAGCTGGATTTCAGTAGCGCCTGCGCCGGGAACCAGACGGGGGTCCTTGGTGATGGCCTTGACCGCGTTCACACCATCATCGATGGCGCGCTCGACATCGTCCAAGTGGTTTTGTGTCGCTCCACGCAAAACGATGGTAGCTGTGCGGGTCACGGCATTGGCCTCCTCTTGACGGAAGACGGTCACACGATCACCGCCGATTTCAGTGGTCTCAACGACATCAATGCTACCCATTTCGTCGGGCATAGGGGCTCCCAGACGGGCAAGAGGAGTAGCGCCGACGACACGGCAAAGTCTGCGGAGTTCGAACTTGGAGAGGATCTTGATCACGAGGATGTTGAAGCGGTTGAGGTAGTGCATGGCCAGGTCACCAACGGAGGAACCGGCCACAACGACGCGAACACCGGAGTCATAGAGCTCCTTAATGGCGGTCTCGAGGCGTTCCTCCTCACCCTTGGTGAAGTTGAGCATCTCATCCGCGCTCTTCAACAGCACAGTGCCCTTGGTTTCGGTCTGAGAGATGTCGATGGGGCAGCTGAACACGCCGACCTTGGCCTTGGAAGCCTTCTTGATGTTGCCATCAGGTTCTCTGCCAAGGACCATTCCCTTCACTACACGAGACTGTTCCAAGCTACCACCCATGATCTTCACCACACGAACGTTGTCGACGTTGAAATTAGCGGGGTTCTTAGGCAGGACTGCGAGCACGGCTTCCGCAACCAACGAGGCCAAGGTATCCTCCGTTCCGGACTGCTTGCTAGCGACGACTGTACGAAGAGCCTTGCTGAGCTCCTCCTGAGAGCGAAGTTCCTTCAGGCGATCGATTTCGAGGTCTGCGCATGCGACAATCGATCAGTATTTTAACTTCAAAAGGAGGCCGCATTCAACGCTAGCCCCTGAGGGAACGATGAGCCATCGCAGACGTGGTCACACCCACCTTCTAGCACCTTGAGGGCAAAGTTCTGTGCCTTCTCATAACCCTGAACGATGTCGCTCGTCTTCAATCCCAAGCGGAGCAATTCCTCAGCCTTCTTCAACAGTTCTCCAGCCAGAATGATGACCAGGTTGGTACCGTCACCCATCTCCACGTCCTGCTGCTGACTGGCCATGACAAGTAGCTTGGCGGCAGGGTGTACGACATCCAGCTCCCGCAGAATGGTAGCGGCATCGGAAGTAAGAACCATCTTCTGCAGGTGGTTGATGACGATCTTGTTGCGGCCATAAGGACCAAGCGACGTTTGGACGGTCTGCGAGATAGCCTGGCAGGCTTCGATGTTACGAATAACGGCGCCATCTTCGGCATCGTGGCTGCAGGTTCCAGAATTAGCTATCTCGTAACGTACGACCCCGTCTGACTCCCCTCAAGTACCCCGACTGGAGTCTTTGTTTCAGAGGATATCAGGCGGAACATTCCACAAGTGGGCTTCGCTTACCTCTGATAGCCAGGCTTGAAAAGCCCGGCCTGGGAGGGACCAGGCATAGACAACGACATAATGACAAAAGACTTCCTCTCAAGTTATGCACCTAAAGAAAGAGGAAGATGATAAGTAGATCAGCCACAACGCTGTCCTGAAGCTGTCTCTGGGAATTTTTGACGGAGAGCTTGGAGACGGTCTGGCGGCGGATGTTTGTTTGGTTTGCACGCGGAGGGGCTCCCCTAGGGCATTTCCCTTTTGGGCCACTGACTAATGTTGTTCTACATTGCATACAATTGATTGAGATGGGAATTGGTCATTATATTCATTGTACAGGGTCTTGAGTCAGTCCTTCTAATTTACAGAAAAGATTACCTGGGCCTGAGGCACCCATGTCCACCTACATAGCAGCTGTCACCAGCGGTCATGATAAGCGGCTTGTCGGAATCCAGGCACTGAACATCAGTATATCATTAGCCATTCTGCATCGTACAATGAAGAGGATGGGGTCTTACTGAAGCCTCCAATGGCATGGCACCCACTATCTTCATATGCAGCTTCCGCTTTAATGGACCTAGAGTCGAGTTAGAACATCCCAGTCGTAGTAGTACCCACAGCACCCTTACCATTCACGGATCGCCTCCATACGGTTATAACTCTTTCAACACATCAGCAAATGTTCTGGAAACCAGTTCTAACTCTAGTGAAGGCTTACCGAGGGATGTGTTGACAGAAATTGGGGCGGTGCTCCCTTCTCAGCTTCCTGCATGCGTGCCCACCTAAGAGAGTGTTAGTTTCTCAATACAAGCAATGGCCTTGGTCGCATATGGCTCGTAAATCTGGAGAGTTGCTTGCAACTCACAATTCGACTGCGGCCTCGTGGTTGAAACACGCTTTCGACATCATCACTACTATGCATTAGCTATGTAACACCAGCGGTAGAACAACGAACGCACTTAACCCGATTTCATCCGCTTCAGCCTATCAAGTGATTAGTTGAGTGACCTTCCAACTGATGGCTATGTCAGACGTACCTCCTGGGTTCGTGAGTTTGGCAGGCTATAGGCAAGGTTCATAAGCAATGAGGGAAGTTGGCCGGAGATGTCAAACAACAGTGAGACCAGGAAGGCAGCTCCCATGGTAATAAAGCTATTGCTCATGCGCTCCGCCGGATGATGGGCCACCACATGGGCAATCTCATGCCCTAGCACGGCCGCTAAGCCATCCTCATCCTTGCATATAGGCAAGATACCGGTGTACACAAACACTTTTCCACTGAGCTTTCGTTCAGTATATGGACAGCAAGTACGACATAAGAGATAGCAAAGCAGGAGGCTCTCACCCAGGAAGAACAAATGCGTTCAGCATGTTATCGTCCTTGATGACGTGGACCTTCCAGTCTGCGCCTTCAATCGGCGCCTGCGGAATCAAGCGCTGCAAAACACGATCCACCTGTATGGTGAGCGGGTGATACTCGGGCAGAATGCTTCCACGGTTTTCGTTCAAGACTTCCTGGTAGCTCTGTCTACCCATCTCGAGTTCCCGTTGCGCGGAGACGCAGTTGAACCGTCGGCGGCCAGTCATCTAGACGAAAGGTATCAGTACCGAGTACAAAACAAAATGTCGGGTCATCCTTGCGTCCTGTGCGATGCTAACCCCACTGATGCAAGTGACGCTGTCGATCACATAGCGTCAACAACCGGGGACGCACCTCTACCGTGTCGGTGTTATATATGTAGAACCCACTAATTCCCAGCCCTATTATAACAAAGTGGTGTGGTTTGGCATCCTTCACCAAGCGAATGAAGAGCGGCTCGTGTCTCGGGTTATTAAATCTCCTATACTGGTTTCCTCCATATTGGTACCCTCGCTTTGTGGAGGTAGAAAATGGTCGGCCGCGGAACGAACTGGATGGGTGTCGGAAGGTCCGAGAGAAGGGTGTCGAGTAACCGGAGCGGCTACGAGGGAAGAGGCATGTCGAGATGGATCGAGGAAGAGCGAGCGGCGTGGAGTTGGAGGTAGAGGGAGGAATGCGACGGAGGAGCGAGGAAGGTGACGCGGTCGATAACCGGGGAAAGCTGTGCAAAAGTGTACTCCTCATTTGTAGGCGTAACATCTTGGACCGTTTTGCATTTTAAACCGAGGGCAGTCCGTGATCGAAAAGAAAAAGCGAATTTATTGTCCAACACGGCGGAGTAGCGAGCTGAAGCTATTCCAGTTGGGCCCGACAGATCAGTGGATCCCTGGGTTTCCCTATGACGGAGGGGACCAATCAGCACGATATCATTTACACCTCGACATCAAAACAGGGAAAATAGTAAATAGTCGTAGGCCCTACATACAGGAGGTTATACAAACAGACCTATATTCAGTAGATCAACATCATAATCAGGAGCGCTGCAAACGAGTCAATGATTAACACGGCGCCTTCGTCTACGTGGCGTACGCTTTCATGTCGAGGTGGATATATATTTTGTCACTTCCATAATCTAAGAACTTCGTTTCCATTTTTCTGGGTTTGTGTGATATTCTATATTGACAGCCTCTACTTGAAAGATGTACCATATATATATATAGGAGATTAATATATATCCTACATCTATAGAGTGATTTACAAACTCTCAAGTATTTCAAAGCTCCGCTCAAGATGTCACAAGAGTATAGCCCGAACTATAGTTTAGCCGCAGAATTGGTCCTCAAGATTTCAACGTGCCATACCTACTACCTCGAAGATAGACACTGTGATATTCCCAGAGGTATCAAAAGAATTAACTACTGAACCAAACTGTGTAGCTCAATGGACTAATAAGTATTTCCACCGCATCCCAAGTGCTTCTCAAAATGTAAGAGCCGGTGTCCAGGCAAGTCCATTCCTGACTAAACCAAAAGATCACAAAACTCAGACCCTAGGATGATATCGCCTTGGTCGCATCTGATACAGCTATATCCCGTGAGCGTGGCACCCTGTCAGCCACCGTGACACAATATCATTCAATTAATGTAAGGTAACATACTGGCCCCAAGGCAAGCCCGCCGAACAATGCTTTGCATCTTTAATAGCGCACCGATATGCCCTATACACGACAGGGGCTAGAAAATTGTACAGTGATTCCTTTATCGTGGTAGTCAATTGTTTTCATGGATTCTTGCCCTGTGATAGGGTAACGATGCATGATTGGTGATTATGAGAACCAATGGAAGCCAGTAGTTGACTATAAGAAATGAGCCCGGAGGCTGCACTTACTTACCAAGGGTAGCATGACTATACTACTCAAGTAGTATCCTGCTCAGCTTGTGGGAAGTGACATGTCTGCGTCTCAATCAACAAATCAGTCTAGCTTCGTGCACTCCCAACATTACACTTTGGGTATATTCCAAGCCACGCATTATACCTGCAGCGTTGCAGACCTGTTGGGCGCAGTTTGCTGAAAGTTTGATCATGGCGCTATACACCGACATGTCCACGACAGCATGCAATATTCCCAACAAAAAACCAGGGGCAATATGTCCAACATTAATTTTAGAAGTACGGCTTCATTCAAAAGCCACCAGATCATGGGTTTATGGCTAAGTCATACAATTGCGTTATTTAGTACGCTGAGTTGGCATGCTACAGCGATGAGAGTGGACTCGTACTATTGCTTCAGAAACGACGCTCAACATGGCTTCTTATCCAATGGTCCGGTACTCGCACAAAGGGCATGAAACAAACTATTCCAGAAGCCCTACTCGAGAACTTAATCCGAGTTGGGCACTGTAAGCGCCGCTATTCTGGGAACAGTGGCTAGCCTCAGAGCCGCAGTGACGTCCAACACTTCACAGGCATCTAGAACACGATCAACTATAGCCAATAAACCATGTACTTGAAACGGCCAGTGTATGGAATCTAACTATGGGTCTACAGAGATAAGGTAGCGGCTCAGCCTCTTTCAATGGTTCAAAGTGACTCAATCATTAGCCGCCTGTAGGCACAGGAATCGTTTCGCCGTGCTCACTCTGCATGAGCGAAGGCGAATCTGGTCGAACAGGTTCAGCGGCTACATCTAAGCAGATACCATGCAGGTCCTGTAGGACATGGACCTTGCTTGCTTGCCTTATTGTCTAGGAACATGGATGTGTTTCCTAGATCACGCTGGTCGAGACGCCGGGTTAGGATGTGACATGCTCGACAGGAACCAGCCGTCAAACAAGCGCTGTGGGATCCAACGGTTGGAATTCAAATGCTCCATTCTGATTGCGCTGTACCTGCACACGATCAAGATAAAAATACTTGCGTTTAGATCTCCGGTAGACTGGACAGCAGCGTTAAGGTGCTGTTCGTTATTGATCGACCCCGCATGTTAGACCCGATGGACGAACACTAAATCGCCATTCTCGGAGCACTGGTAATTTCTATTAATAAATAGACTCATAATTTGTCATGGACGAGCCCAAGGCAAGTAATTAGTCTCGCTCGTACGTTGCCTGGCGGGGGTCCACTGCAGACGGTAGACGAGATACCGTGTGTGCCCATCACGTCGGCAATGTCTTCTTTCTGTGCAAGCGTAGGACTAAGTACAGCATAATACATGTGCTACCGAACTACAAACATACATACAAATGTAGTTTTGGGCATTATTCAGTGAGGGTTGCATAGCTTCACTCGGCCGTGCTCCAGGATTTAGTTACAGACTGGAAACGGGTAATGCGAGTGAGGAAAAAAGACAGGGAGAAAAGAAAGAAAGAAAGAAAGAAAAAGGCAAAGAAGAAGAAACGAACTATTGAAAATCGTGCCTTCGCATTGAGATCTCGAAATATCCGCGAAAGTGACTCGAGCTCAACCGCTGTTGTGGCATGTCACGATGCACATCCATATCACAGTTTCTGCTTGTGCTTGTTGACCAGGGTGTCTGCAGATTGACCTCACATTCTTCTAAGGTGATTGGTGAACCGTTTAATTACGGCTACTAAATCAATACTAATTGTTAGCGTGCAGCTGCAGGAATGTGATAAGGTCCGGCAGAAGCGTTGTGACGACTTCCAGCCTTGTCAGCACCCTGTCCCGCAATTAGGGTCGCCAGGGTCATGGTCCTGAGATGATTGGAGGTATTCTGTCCTATACTAGAGAAATCACAATGAAAAATCAAACGAAAAGAGATAACAACATCCTGTGAGGCAACAACTCACCACGGATGACTCTCGAAAAGAATTGATACAGTCAACCTGGTCCATGAGTCAATTGTGTCCGAAAATTATCCCGGATTTGTTGCCGGCGTGACAAGTGTGACTGGAGGATCGAAGGTGCAGAATTAACCAAAGCTAATGTGAGCTTCCAGGTCGAATCATCCCGGGTGGGGAAAATCCGGTGGCTGCCAGATCCTGCTGAATGAGGGGGAAAGGATCATGGGAACGCAAAGGTTAGCGGCCAATGCACGGGATGGGAAGAATTTGGATTAGTTGGCGCCGAACAGAGCTAATTATGGCACGTTGAAGGGGGAGCGATATTAATAGCAAAAGCGCTTCAGAGGGAGGAATTATGGCGGATTGTAGGGGCAGATGGGCGGCTAAATGATACTAATTAAGATGTTATCACATCTTGGCGCAAAGTCTGTCGGGGTCGCACGGGGCACTTGGTGGTTCTCCACTCACGGACGGTTGGCTGCGGATTTCCCGTTCTGCATGGACAGTATTAGCCGGCCATCGAATCACCGCGGCAAAAAGGAAGCTTGGCTCACCCCACTCGATTAGCGTTCAACACTAATGCTGTATCAATCAACATCAACTAGACTCCATGCGGAATTTGCCTAGTCGAGCATTCAAGAACCCCGCAAAGCTTCCGTGAGACGTCCGAGTACCACATCGACACTGGATTGGCGCCAGCTTTGATGAATGGCGTCTTCTATGTACATTTGGTGTTACTTTGGCCAAGTCTCTTTGGGCATAGTCCGTCCTCTCGTTCTGTACGGGCAAGGTCACACCCGTGCCATCGACAGCCTATGGAGAAAGGACGGACTCGCTTCGTGTAGCCGTTAATACTACTAGGTATGTATGAATTCGGATCATGTGGGGGTTTAGTTCGTAGAATACCTGCCCAATGGGGGGGGAAATTGTGGTAACTCCAGCTAAAGTGATCGCTATTTGGGTCCACTATTGGATGGTCTCTTTGTGATTCATACTACCAGGCCATGAACGGCGGGTTCCCTTTTCATTCAACCCTTAATACCTTTTCTATAGACCGTTGGACGCGGTGGTAACTGCGGGTAAGCGGAAAAATAGCAGGCCATCGCTCAAGAATCGGGCGTAGGATGTGGTAAGCGAGGGTGTCCAAATACTCCGGTGATGTCCCCCTGCTCATTGGTAGTATTTGGTAGTATGATCCTGGGGATGTTGTACGGTACCTTGGATCTGAAAATGGAACCCAGAAAGTCAGAATGAAATCAATAAATCAAAAAAAATGAAAGAAAAAAAAACTAAATAAAAAAAAAACAATCCTATAGTCGGACGAATACCACTTAATTCCAGGGATAACTCGGGCAGATACATTGCGATAGATCCAAACCCAATCAATTTCCCAGCCGCCAATATTGGCGAGAAGACGGTCACCAATGATACTGCTTCATGACCTGCATGGGCGCCAACAAGAAAGGTAAAAAAGATTCCAAAATTATCCAAAATTAGTCTCGTTCCTTGCTCGTGCAGGTTGTTGCGACCCCCCTGCTAGTGGCAGCCGCCAGGGTTCCGTCCTGCGATCATCCCCCCAATCCGCTATCTTTGACGCTCCATCCCACCGCCGCGTTTCCCACCCGATGCTGCTCACTTGCATCCGACGATCTGAGGTCCAAAATAGAAACATCATGGCCTGTCAGTCGGGAAACCTTGGTTTTAAAGCTTCGTCTATCCCGCCGCCATGGAGTTTTTCGGTTCACTGTCTCGCACACTAGTTCTCTGTCGCCGCATCCTTTGTAACCGCGCCTTTCCTTTTCTTCTTATACTTAATTAGATAGCAAAGGCTGCTGGTTCAGCTTTGCGATTGCCCCACGATACTCCCCATCCATATACCCGCAATAGCTCGCCAGGCGACTGAAAACCGGTCACTTCCGCAGCCTATCGCAATTTATACCGGAGTGCACGGACGAT